CCCAGCTATGTCTGGTGCTTCTTTTTTTTTTGGCTGGTCGTGGGGCCTGAACTCTGGGCCTGGGCACTGTCCCTCAGCAATTCAGCTCAAGGCTAGCACCTTACCACTTGAGCCACAGCACCACTTCCGGCTTTTTATGCTTATATGGTGCTGAGGAATCAAACCCAGGGCCTCATGCATGCAAGGCAAGCGCTCTACCACTGAGCCACCTTCCCAGCCCTGTCTGGTGCTTCTTGAGGGCTGGAATTTGCTGTCTCATCTCTCCGGATTTTCAAGATGCTGTGTGCCCCGCAGGGAGATTCCATGGCCTTCCACAGACCCCGCCTTCCTTGTCTTTTTTCAGGCTGGGTGTGATGTGGAGTATAGCTAGAAACGCAGCACTTGGGAGACTCAAACAGGAGGATGGCCAGCTGGAGGCTATCTAGTCGGCTCAGGCAGCCTGGGATACATAGATCCTATGCAAAAGAAAAAAGGCCAGCAGAGGGGACCTGTGCCTGTAATCCCAGCTCACTGGGAGGTGGGTGAGGGCAAAAAGCTAGCAAGAGGCGATGAGACGGGTGCTGGCAGGCCCCGTGACTCCAGGCACAGCCAGCAGCTGCCTGCAAACCAGCCCAAAGGAGGACAGGACTGGAGGCGGGGCTGGAGCTCCAACCCCAGCGCCACAAAAAGGCTTTTCCCACCACGCATTTCCTGGAGCAAAATCAAACCTCATATAAACTGGACTATGTAACTGTCATTTCAATATTCATTGAGTGAAACATTCCAAGTGCTTCCGTTACTCTGGAAGGTGAGAGATGCCTTCTCTTCGTTCTCTCTTCTTCCTCCTCTTTCTTCTCTTTTTTGTGGCGCTGGGGTTTTGGAGATGGAGCTGTGCACTTTTGCCAGGAAAGTTTTTCTTTCTTTTCTCTCCTCTCCTTCTCTCTCTCTCTCCCTCTCTCTTTTTCTCTTGGCCAGTCCTAGGTCTTGAACTTGGCACTGTTCCTGAGCTCTTTTGCTCAAGGCTAGCACGCTGCCACTTGAGCCGCAGCACCACTTCTGACTTTTTGTATGATTATGTGGAGATAAGAGTCTCGCTTTGAACGGTGATCCCCAGATATCCTGCTGCGTAGCGAGGGTTATGGGCATGAGCTACGGGCGCCCGGCTGTCTTCTGAAGGTACTGGAGTTTGAACTCACACGTAGTAGGCAGGTGCTTTATTGCTGAGCCACTCTTAGAGCCTGAATTAGATGGCTCTGCCAACTAGCCCAGGACTTGTTTGTCCCACCTGCTTGTGGGGTGTCTCAGCCAGGCTGGCACCTGTTCCTGAGGAGCCTCCTGGCTGCCCTGTGTGCTGATCTCCAGCACCGCAAGCCAGCTGCCTTCCCTGCTCTCCAGTGGCGTCTCCCAGCTTCCCCTCCAGCTGCTCCCTCTGTGTAAGTCCCCCCCCAGCCTGCTGTGCACTGCTGTCCCCCCAGGTGAAAGCCCTCCCCCTCCCCACACTGCCTTCTCTCCCTGCCACCCTCCTGGGTGTCGGCTCCATCGGAAGGGACACTGCGGTACTCGCCACTCGCTGTGGACTCTGCCTCTCCTCCTGGTGGCATGGCAGTGACCCCTGACTTCCTGCAGGGAGGCCATGCGGCAGTGTCCGCAGGCCTGCTCCCCCCCGCAGTGGGGCTCGCTCTCCAGCCTAGTCCTTGCTATTGTCCGCAGGCCTGCTCCCCCTGCAGTGGGGCTCGCTCTCCAGCCTAGTCCTTGCTATTTAGATGCCGGTTGTTTGGTCTTGCACCAGAAGCTTCAGCCCAGCGGCAGCCGTAGGGAAGAATGGGGAGCCGGCTTGTTCCAGCAGCTTTGAGTGGAAGCAGAGGGAGAGGCTGCCCGCCGTGGGAAGGAGGGCTGCACAAATGTGTGTTGGTATTTGGTTTTACCTGCAGGAAGTCACTCTGGATAAACAGCAGTAATTGAGGGCAGAGGATCTGGAATGCAGAAGAGAAAGCAGAGGCTTTCTAGAGTGTTCTTATGGATGGTCAAACCCAGGAGGACTTTGCAGGGGGGCTGGGAGTGTAAAGCCATGGCTGGCGCTGGCTCCAGAGCCAACCCTTGGTTGGGAGGTTAGGAACTGTGCTGTGATTGGTGTGTTCTGCCTCCCTGGCCTTGTGCCCACCCACTTGTCAACATCGTGCCAAGCCCCACAGTTGAGCCGAGGAATGTTTGATGTAAAGGCCTTCTTCTGAGCACGTGCGCCGGGAGGGAAGCCTGAGCCAGACAAGTGAGAAGCGGGTGCCACTTTAGAGCCTCATTCAAGGCCTTTCTGGTTTTGGTCTGCCGGTGCTCAAACTGGACCAGAATGTGACAGTAATGTTGATTAGGTGTCTACATCTATTTAGTTACAGCCACAGCTATTTAGAGTAGTCTGCAAGTTGGTTGTTTTTTTTTTTTGTTTTTTGGGTTTTTTTGTCCAGTCCTGGGGCTTGAACTCGGAGGGCCACTGTCTCTGAGCTTCTTTTGCTCAAGACTAGCACTCTACCACTTGACCCACAGCACCACTTGCGGTTTTCTGATGGTTAATTGGAGATAAAAATCTCATGGACTTTCCTGCCCGGGCTGGCTTTGAACCGCATCCTCAGATCTCAGCCTCCTGAGTAGCTAGGATGACGGGTGTGAGCCACCAGCGCCCTGCATAGGACTATTTTTTAGTACTGGAATGTTTTGGGCTGGTTTTGTTTGTTTTTTGGTGCTGTTCCTGGGGCTTGAACTCACAGCCTAGGAGCTGTCCCTGAGCTTTTTTGCTCAAAGTTAACACTCTACCACTTGAGCCACAGTTCCACTTTGGCTTTGTTGGTAGTTAATTGTAGGTAAGAGCCTCACAGACTTTCACCCTGGTCTGGCTTTGAATCATGATCCTCAGCTCTCAGCCTGCTGAGTGCCTGGGATGAAAGTGTGGGCCACTGGTGCCTGGCTGCCTGTGCTTTTCTTAAACCTCAAATGAAAGAAGCCACACTGCTGGGAATTTTCACGTCCATAAAAATGTGCACCGTGGATAGGTACAAGTGAAGTGGTTTTGATTATGTATGGGGTTTGGCAAGGCTCAGAGCTGGCGAGCCGCTGTTCCGGGCTCAGCTGGCCAAGCACACCTGACAAGGCCTCTGCCCAGGTGAGGTGGCGTGCCCGTGGGCTCGAGCGGAGGGCCTCGGCAGCTGTAAGCCGCCGGCCGTGCAGCCGCCCCACAGGGCCATGCTCAGATCCTCTGCTGAAGAACCGTGTGTCTGATGTACCCTGCGGGGGTGCTGCTCCGCTTTTAGTGCTTGCCATTCTCTTGGTCAGGTGCCAGTTACAGGAGGGTCACTAGGAGGACATGGAAGAGGCGGGGACGGGAGGTCAGCGCTGCGCCTCTGATGGCGGCAGCCGCTGTCGCGAGCCGTGCACCTCCCGCCCTGGCCCCGGGTGGCTCCCTGTGCTGTGTGCAGCTCATTCCCGCCTCGTCTGGGTCCTTTCTCACCGATCCAGCGTCTGAGGTCTCATTTTATGTAATAAACTAGTATGGCTCATTAATTTCCTTTCCATCTTTTTTTTTCAAACTTTTTGTCAGTCATGGGGTTTGAACTCTGGGCCTGGGCGCTGTCCCCAGCTCTTCAGCTCAAGGCGAGCGCTCTACCACTTGAGCCACAGCGCCACTTCCGGTCTTTTCTGCTTATGTGGTGCTGAGGAATGGAGCCCAGGGCCTCATGCCTGCGAGGCAAGCGCCCTAAGGCTGAGCACTTTCCCAGCCTGTTATTCTTAGTTAATTCTGTGCTGCTGGCTGGAACCAGCTCTGCTCACGGGTGCGGCCGCCGGTCCAAGGCAGACCACCTGCCCCAGCCTTTGTCTAACAGCGAAGTTCCTTTGTTTTTGTCTTCTTCTGTAACAGTACCACACCAGCAGACACAGTCACAGTCAAGGTGTGTGAGTGTGTATGTGTGTGCAGGGTGTGTACACATCCGTGTGTCTGTCGGCCCTCAGGTGTGTGTGTGTGCACGCGCGCGTGTGCACACAGGTGCAGGATGTGCACAGCACATCAGTGTGTCTAGCACCCCTTGTGCGGGGCAGTGGTATGGTGAGACTTTTGGCACAAGTTGTTCCCAGTCAGGACTTGGAGACCCAGCAGCCTCCCGAGCGCACGCCGTGGAGGCCATGAGCACGTGTGGGTGCCCAGCCCAGCCCAGCCCAGCCCAGCTCAGCTCAGCTCAGCTCACCCCAGCCCAGCCCAGCCCAGCCCAGCCCAGCCCAGCCCAGCCCAGCCCAGCCCAGCTCAGCCCAGCCCAGCCCAGCCCAGCCCAGCCCAGCCCAGCCCAGCTCAGCTCAGCTCACCCCAGCCCAGCCCAGCCCAGCCCAGCCCAGCCCGGGCCCAGCCGCCTGCTCGCTTGGTGCCTGGTACCTCGCACTTGATGCCTTTTGTTCTTTTGGTCTCCAAGACCAGACTGCTGCCCTGTGGCCGCTGGTGGGCGACGGGCAAGTGGGCCAGCAGTGCGTGGACGGCGGCGTCCTCTGCCTCGTGCTGGGTGTGTGTGTTTGGGGGGGTGTTTGAGATCTACCAGGCCAGCGTGCGTGGGGGGGGGTCTGCCGGCCGCCCTTGGACCCCGCCTCATGTCGCAGAGCAGGGGCGCGTGACCCGCGGGCACAGTGGACGCAGAGAAAGCCGCGTGGACGGAGGCTTTCCGAGCGTCAGTGGAGAGCAAGCTGCGGCTCCACGAACCTGAGTCTCGCTGGCGTGCCACGCAGCCTGGCGTCTGGCCCGGCCCGGGCTCTCGGCGCACACTTGCTCACAATGAGCAACTCCCTCCGTCAGGGACCCCTGTGCGCAGGTCTAGAGCTGGTTCTCCTGGGCCAAGGGCTCGGGCTCGGGCTCGGGCTCGGGCCGGCCAGCCGTCGGCAGGATAAGCGCCAGTGCGGAGGCCTGGCGGGGCACGCGGCCCTCCCCGAGAAGCACGCACGCGTTCCTGTACAACTTCTCTATTGTGATAACGTGTTCTCCTTTGTCTTCACAGAGACTAATAGACAAGTCACGCGTAAGCTGTGTCAAATGGGTGCCCGGCTCGGAAAGCCTTTTCCTAGTAGCCCATTCGAGTGGGAACATGTACCTGTATAATGTGGAGCACACTTGTGGCGCCACAGCCCCCCACTACCAGCTCCTGAAGCAGGGGGAGAGCTTTGCCGTGCACACTTGCAAGAGCAAATCCACGAGGAACCCTCTCCTTAAGTGGACGGTGGGCGAGGGGGCCCTCAACGAGTTTGCTTTCTCCCCAGATGGCAAGTTCTTAGCGTGCGTGAGCCAGGACGGGTTTCTGCGCGTGTTCAACTTCGACGCGGTGGAGCTGCACGGCACGATGAAAAGCTACTTTGGGGGCTTGCTGTGTGTGTGCTGGAGCCCGGACGGCAAGTACATCGTGACGGGCGGCGAGGACGACCTGGTGACGGTCTGGTCCTTTGTGGACTGCCGGGTCATAGCGAGAGGCCACGGGCACAAGTCGTGGGTCAGCGTGGTGGCGTTCGACCCCTACACCACGAGCGTGGAGGAGAGCGACCCGCTGGAGTTCAGCGGCAGCGACGAGGACTTCCAGGACCTTCTGCACTTTGGCAGAGACCGAGCCAACAGCACACAGTCCAGGCTGTCCAAGCGGAACTCGACCGACAGCCGCCCCGTGAGCGTCACGTACCGGTTCGGCTCGGTGGGCCAGGACACGCAGCTGTGCTTGTGGGACCTCACGGAAGACATTCTTTTCCCCCACCAACCCCTGTCGAGGGCCAGGACACACACCAATGTCATGAACGCCACCAGCCCTCCCGCCGGGAGCAATGGCAACAGCGTCGCCACCCCCGGGACCTCGGTGCCCCCTCCGCTGCCGCGGTCCAACAGCCTCCCGCACTCGGCCGTGTCCAGCGCGGGCAGCAAGAGCAGCGTCCCCGACGGGGCCCTCGCTGCCGGCGTCAGCAAGTTCGCAACCCTCTCGCTGCACGACCGGAAGGAGAGGCACCACGAGAAAGACCACAAGCGGAACCACAGCATGGGACACATTTCTAGCAAGAGCAGTGACAAACTGAACCTAGTTACGAAAGCCAGAACGGACCCCGCTAAAACTCTGGGGACGCCCCTGTGTCCTCGGATGGAAGACGTCCCCCTGTTAGAGCCGCTGATCTGTAAAAAGATCGCGCACGAAAGACTGACTGTATTAATTTTTCTTGAAGACTGTATAGTCACTGCTTGTCAGGAGGGATTTATTTGCACATGGGGAAGGCCTGGGAAAGTGGTAAGTTTTAACCCTTAACGCTGCCCGGACCGAGAGCGGGGCTAGCCAGCGGGGGAGGGGTGGGGTGTACAATGAATGTGAATGACACTTCTTATTCCTAATGTAAAACTAAATGCATCAGAGCCATAATTTTGGATACTGCATGCCATGTAATTCTGAATCATTTGAGAATCCACCTTAGAGCGCGGAGAAAAAAAAATATATAATCCAACTAATTGCCAGCCGAGTCGGTCTTCCTTGCAGGAGTCTGCAGAGCCCCGGTCAGCGTCCTGTGCCAGAGTGTTTCAGTTGTAGGGCAATCATGACAGCATGGGAAGCAACGCCTTTAACGTGCTGAAACTACAGTTTATGCTTTAACTGGAATATTTTTGCCTAACTACTCAACTAGACTATTGTACACCTGATCAGAGTGTGTGTTCAGTACAGATGGCCAATAACTGTCATTTGTAGTCCAATTTTTTATCTTAAATCATAAAAATGTGTAGGAATTGATGAAATTTAACTTTAGGAACAAAGCGTTCAGCAGGGTTGATTGATATTATTTTTACATTGTTCTGGCAATCCACAGAAAGAGCCTTAATTTTTAAAAACCCATTTTAGTCATTTTATGACAATTTAAAATTGTTTAATAAACATCTTTTTTCAAAGAAGCAGTTTGTAGAACTTTGATTGAGACTCTGTGCACGAAAATCTCCACCTGCTCCAGAGCCTGGAGAGTGACCTGCCCGGAAACGAGGTGGATGTGTCGCGTGTGGGCTCCCCCACGTGGCCCCGGCCGGACAAGAGAGCTTCTGTTGCCTTTGGTTTTCCCACCCCTCTGGGTCAGGAAGGTGGCTGCAGGCGGTGGTCAGCCCGCGTGGCCGTCCAGTGCTGCTCCGTGGGTGCTGGGTGCGCAGCAGGGTGCCGGAGGGCGGCCTCCCTTTGGCGCAGTCCTGGATGGCAGCTGGGCCCTGGGGGCCTCTGGGGACTGGGGTGAAGCGAGTGGCTCCTGGGGGCCTCAGGCGTTCAGAAGTTGGTCTCAGTCGTTTTCTCGGTGGATCTGGAGGCTCTTGGAGCTGTAGAACTTGTGTTGAGAGCTGTGCATTTTGGCACTTGGTCGTTTTTGTTTTGTGTACCTCTGTGATCCTGTAGGGCGCTGAGTAGTGTGAGGAGTGAGTGTGTGGTTTTGCAAGTGTTTCTGCCTTGTGGAAATCCATGCCCCCCCCTTCCCTCAGCCTCCCCACAGGCTGGGCTGGGGCCAGGGCCGCTGCCCTTCTGAGTGCCCACGGCCCGATCCACGCACCCCGCCCCGTGGCTTCTGTTCCGCGTGGCCATGGCGCCCCCCTCCCCTGCCAGGGCCTTTCCACGTCGAGCCGAGCGATTGTCAGTGTCCCAGCTTCCGGGGCATCTGGTCCTTTGTTCCTAGGAACGTTCGGCCTGGGGGCAGTGGGCTGCACGGGGCTTAGCGGCGGGGTCCCGCACACTTTGCACACCTGCACGGTGGTAGAAATTCTAATGCTGCCCAGACAGCGAGTGTGCAGTCTGGAAATTCAGGACTCCGCCCTGGGCTCCGCACAGGTAAGGAGGGGTGAGGCCCCCGTGACCCCTCGTTCCCAGGGCGCCGACTTCCTGCGCAGGCCCAGCGGGGCAAGGACTGGGGGGGGAGGGGGCGTCCGCACCGCCTCCCCCTCCCCCGCGCTGTGGGCGTGGTTGGCTTTGGCCGCCATCTTGTCCAGCGTCTGCGGAGGAGGGGCGTGTCCCGTCTGGCTGGGCCCCTGGGGACCCCGCAGTCTTCCCCTTTCTGGGGTTCCTCTGTCCCCTCTGCTCCCCGACTCCGCCCCCTTTGGCAGTGGGCGGGGCGCTGTGCGGGACGGGGGGCGCTGTGCGGGTGCTGTGCGGGACGGGGGGCGCTGTGCGGGTGCTGTGCGGGACGGGGGGCGCTGTGCGGGACTCAGGGTGCTGTGTGGGCGCTGTGCGGGACAAGGGCGCTGTGTGGGCGCTGTGCGGGACCAGGGTGCTGTGTGGACGCTGTGCGGGACAAGGGCGCTGTGCGGGACCAGGGTGCTGTGTGGGCGCTGTGTGGGCGCTGTGCGGG